TCTAGTTTCTCATAATAGAGAAGCCTCGGGAGGTTCTCTTCTCCCTCCTCTAATTCTCCGATAACAATTAGCTCTGGACGGCGAAGTACTGTCGGATCGTGAAGCATGTACTCTTGCAATCTGTAGATAGGTCGTGTTTTCGGTCTTCGGTTCGAGGGATCGTTCGTGAACGGTTCGAGGAACTTCATCAACGATCTACACCAACTCTTCTTCCGCTGCAAGTCAAGTTGGTAACGATCCGATCTAAACCTCTAATGCATCTTCATAGTGTTCCTGGATTGATCGTAGGCGATTTTTTTGTTTTCTACTACGTTTCCCAACACCCCTCATATTTTTTTGACCATGACACCCTCTCATCTTGTGAAGCCGAATACATAGCGATGGCAACAACGGCGTGCCAAGCAATGTGGCTTGGAAGTCTCCTTGCTGATTTGACGAACTAGCATCCAGAACAAGTAAAGCTCAGAGTTGATAACAAATCCACCATATCTCTATGAAAAAAAACCTTCATCATGATCGTAGCAAGCACGTTGATATAAGGTACCATTACATTAGAGAATGTGTAGAAGAAGGCAAGGTGGAGGTGGATTATGTCAGCACTAAAAATCACCTCGTAGATATACTGATGAAGTCATTGGGGACTGAAGTTTCAGGAGATGCGTGAGAAGATTGGAGTTGTGGCTGTCAAGTAGTTGTATTTTGTGATTAGGAGGGTGAATGTGAGTTACAACACATGCGATATTAGGCTAAATCAAGTTCGTCCGAGTCTGTACAGGTAGCCAAAGTATAAGGTGATTCCTGAGTCATTTTCCATCCAATCTCTAGGAGTTAATTAGAGTCCTAAACCACATCAACTTGTAGTCTGGGTCACGTCGTGTTGGGCAAGTTAGGAGGTCATGTTGGATGCACGGTTGGTTCATTGGGCCATATATAAAAGCAAAGGAAACGAGATTGAAAAGCTGTTGGGCAACACCAAAACTATCGTCTCTGTTCTTATTTTCGTAAGCTAGCTACTTCACGTTTTGATCTGGGAACTAACAATGTGTATGAGTTGAGATCCGGCAATAACATAGCACACCTTTGTCGTTAGGGAGGACAAATCCAGAGGAGATTCAAGCTTTATGTAATATGGACTGTAATGACCATGGTTGATGAATGAAAGACTTTTACTCGGAAAAAAAGATAGAATGGTTTGGTTCTCCTAACTAGGTGTTATTTTGACCTTTAGTTTTACTAGTGGTATTTTAGAACTTTTAGTTTTTGTAGTGGTATTTTGGCTATTCTTGGAAGGGAATGAATGGAACATGGGGGTAGGTGCACCCGTCTTTCAAAAGAAATGTAATTTAAAAAATGGTCAAACAATCATGTAATTTGATGGCAACAAACTTGATAAAACGCTAGGCTCGTGCAAAATATTTGGGGACGAAATGACTTCCGTTGAAAAAATTCACCACTATATTAGTGGTACTATTCCGGTGCAGATTTTTGAAACATGGGTGTAGGCGTATCAATTAAGCAATTTTTCTAAAGAAAAGTAAAATTATAAAAATGCGAAACTTTTTTGCGACAAACATAATCAAGCTCACGCTTAAAATTTCGGGACAAAATGAGCTATGTCATATTCTGAGCGAAAAAAAACAAAAGTGCAGCTACGAAAACTGTGAATGATGGTGTTTATATAGTACTCCCTCCGTTCCAAAATATAGCGCGCCCACGCTTTTCGAGGTTCAACTTTGACCATAAATTTAACCCACGAGACCGACTGCGGCGGGATCAAAAATTATATAATTAAAAACTTTTTTTGAATACGAATTTATTGGTATAATTTTTTCGCCCGCCGCAGTCGGTCTTGTTGATTAAATTAATGGTCAAAGTTGAAGCACGGAAACCGAGGACGCGCTATATTTTGGAACGGAGGGAGTATTGATTATGTTGTATTTTGCTCGGAATACGGGGTAAATCAGTTAGTCCCGAAACTTTAATTGTGAGTATTATGCTAGACCATGTATGTTGCCATACAGCTTCAAAACAATTTTTTTTTGCGAAGGAGCTTCAAAACAATTTAACTAAGTTTACTATTTTTATTTTATTTTTTCAATTCGGGTACGGCTAGGCCCAGGTTCCGTTGTGTATTTTTGGTACTATTCACTCTATATTGTTTCAGAATTTTTTTTTATTCTCAGATTTTTGACAGGAGTTTTTTTATGTCAAGTAGTCATCGCTAGGTAGTCTACAGACCTGGTTGTAAATTTTTATTATCTTTGGTGTTCTTTGTACTGTTGTGATTGAAGTTGAGATTAAAAGTTTCTCAAAAAAAAGTTTCAAAGATTATTGATTTTTTTCTGAATTGCTAAATTTTCCATGAAAATTGTTTATGGGTGGTGTATCCTGTTATTTTCCACGTCGTTTTATTCTCCTTCTCATCTTCACCCTCGACCCTCACGGCCAAAAAAAAAAGCTCACCCTCGTCCCGGGCATACCCGAGCCCTCGTAGGTTTGGCTCTCCTGCAGCCGCCGCCGCCGCCCGAGGGATCTCCTGCCACCGGAGTCCCTTCTCTCCACCGGCCAGTGGATTGGCTCCACCCTCCCTCCCAAAACCCCCGCCCCCGATCTTCCTCCTCCTCCGCGCGCTACATCGCCCCCGAC